ACACGCCGACCAGTGGAGCCACCTCGCTGCACGCCTCGACCGCCAGAAGCACCTCGCGCTTCCGGCCGCACCAGCGGCCCAGCTGGCCGCGCACGGCGGCCCAAAGCCTGGTGGCGAGCTCCCACAGCAGGAGGGTCCCCAAGCCTAAGGAGACCTCGAAGCCCCAAGAGAACTCCGCCTTGGCCGGCTCGGGGCATGCCGGGCAAGGATCAGGGCACTCCACCAGCGGTGCCGACGCCCCCCGGGCACGCACCTCTCCAGCTCCGCGCACAGCTCTCCAGCCAGCGCGGGGGTCGGCGGCGCGGCCGCCGGGCAGCTCCGCGCTGGCGGAGCTGGGGCCGGCGCCGCAGCCGGCGGAAGAGCGGCCGCAGGCCGCGCGGCGGGCGGGCTGGCGGGGCCGCGGCCGGCCCACCACTGCCCCAGCCACGCGGAGCCCACGTAGAACGCCAGGAGCACCGCGCCGCGGCCCGCCTGGCGCATTCAGGTCGCGGGCTGCCTGCGGGCGGCGCGCGACCTCTCCGAAAAAGGCTTGGGCCGGGGCGGTGGCAGATGCAAGCACCGCGCAGCCCTCCCACGCTCTGCGATTACTGTTCTAGAACTCCTCATCATCATCATCATCATCATCATCATCATCATCATCATCATCATCATCATCATCATCATCATCATCATCATCATCATCATCATCATCATCATCATCATCATCATCATCATGATCATCATCATCATCATTAACATCATGCATCATCATCGTTCTCCTCCTCCTCTTCCATCTCATCTGGCTGCTCATCCTCCTCTCCCTCTCCTCCTCCTCCTCCTTCTCCTCCTCCTCCTCGTCATCATCATCGTTATCATCGTTATCATCGTTATCATCGTTATCATCATCATCATCATCATCATCATCATCATCATCATCATCATCATCATCATCACCATCGTCATCATCATCATCATCACAATCCCGCTCCCCGTCCCTCTCTTCCTCATCGTCATCCCCCTCCCCGTTTCCTTTCACGACATTCGGCAACTCGTTTTTCCATCCACGGTCACAAAGCTCCCAACTACTTCTCCCAGAACGTCTGTTCGCCACGAATCCGCTTTCCATGGCCCCAAGGGGGGGGCAACGCCGCCCGAGAAAATTGAGGAAATTATCCCGGCAAAGCAACCTAACAGCGATGTGTAGGAGCATATCTGGAAGCATTCCCCTTACGATTCAAATGAGAACCCAGTTGTAGAATTCTGCTGTTCTCGCAGTCGTAGTCGCATTCGCGATGACAGTCGCAGCGGCAACGGCAGTCGCAGTCACAGCCTCAGCCTAAGTCCTGCCTCAGCCTCAGCCTCAGCCTGCCTCAGCCTCAGCCTCAGCCTCAGCCTCCTGCCTCAGCCTCAGGCCTCAGCCTCAGCCTGCCTCAGCCTCAGCCTGCATCAGCCTCAGCCTCAGCCTCAGTCTGCCTCAGCATCAGCCTGCATCAGCCTCAACCTCAGCCTGCCTCTGCCTCAGCCTCAGCCTGCTTCAGCCTCAGCCTCAGTCCAGCCTCAGCCTCAGCCTCAGCCTGCCTCAGCCTCAGCCTGCCTCAGCCTCAGCCTCAGCCTGCCTCAGCCTCAGCCTGCTTCAGCCTCAGCCTCAGTCTGCCTTCAGCCTCGGCCTCAGCCTCAGCCTGCCTCAGCCTCAGCCTGCCTCAGCCTCAGCCTGCATCAGCCTCAGCCTCAGCCTCAGCCTCAGCCTGCCTCAGCCTCAGCCTCAGCCTGCTTCAGCCTCAGCCTCAGTCTGCCTTCAGCCTCGGCCTCAGCCTCAGCCTGCCTCAGCCTCAGCCTGCATCAGCCTCAGCCTCAGCCTCAGCCTGCCTCAGCATCAGCCTGCCTCAGCCTCAGCCTCAGCCTGCCTCAGCCTCAGCCTCAGCCTGCTTCAGCCTCAGCCTCAGTCTGCCTTCAGCCTCGGCCTCAGCCTCAGCCTGCCTCAGCCTCAGCCTGCATCAGCCTCAGCCTCAGCCTCAGCCTGCCTCAGCATCAGCCTGCCTCAGCCTCAGCCTCAGCCTGCCTCAGCCTCAGCCTCAGCCTGCTTCAGCCTCAGCCTCAGTCTGCCTTCAGCCTCGGCCTCAGCCTCAGCCTGCCTCAGCCTCAGCCTGCATCAGCCTCAGCCTCAGCCTCAGCCTGCCTCAGCATCAGCCTGCCTCAGCCTCAGCCTCAGCCTGCCTCAGCCTCAGCCTCAGCCTGCTTCAGCCTCAGCCTCAGTCTGCCTTCAGCCTCGGCCTCAGCCTCAGCCTGCCTCAGCCTCAGCCTGCATCAGCCTCAGCCTCAGCCTCAGCCTGCCTCAGCATCAGCCTGCCTCAGCCTCAGCCTCAGCCTGCCTCAGCCTCAGCCTCAGCCTGCTTCAGCCTCAGCCTCAGTCTGCCTTCAGCCTCGGCCTCAGCCTCAGCCTGCCTCAGCCTCAGCCTGCATCAGCCTCAGCCTCAGCCTCAGCCTGCCTCAGCATCAGCCTGCCTCAGCCTCAGCCTCAGCCTGCAGCCTCAGCCTCAGCCTCAGCCTTCAGCCTCGGCCTCAGCCTCAGCCTGCCTCAGCCTCATCAGCCTGCCTCAGCATTCAAAATGTTGCCCGGGAATGGAATTCTGGGAACTCGAACAACACGAAGTGGCCTACAGCTGGCCCCGGGCATTCAAAATCATGCCCAGGAATGGAGTTCTGGGAACTCGAAGACCACGAAGTGGCCTACAGTTGGCTCCGGGCATTCAAAGTGTGGCCGGGGAATGGAGTTCTGGGAACTCGAAGAATACGAAAAGGCCTACAGTTGGCTCCGGGCATCCAAAATGGGGCCCAGGAATGGAGTTCTGGGAAGTCGAAGAGCACGAAGTGGCCTACAGTTGGCTCCGAGCATCCAAAATGTGGCCCGGGAATGGAATTCTGGGAAGTCGAAGAGCACGAAGTGGCCTACAGTTGGCTCCGAGCATCCAAAATGTGGCCCGGGAATGGAGTTCTGGGAAGTCGTAGAGCACGAAGTGGCCTACAGTTGGCTCCGGGCATTCAAAATGTGGCCCGGGAATGGAGTTCTGGGAAGTCGAAGAGCACGAAATGTGTTACCGTTTGCTTAAAACGAGCCCGGCCCTGAGCCCGGCCCTCGCTGTCCAGATGCCGCCCAGACCCCCCTTCTGAGTCATCAGATGCTCTCTTTTGACACCACTAGAAACCTATCAGTCTTCGCTGTTAGGAAAAAAGCAGCGATTGAAGCATTTGACTGGCGAAGAGCACAACCCTTTCTCAAAACGAGGCGACTATGAGCAAGACCGCTCAATACACGATAATACTGTAAGGGGCCTGTGGTACCTCTGAACGCTTCGCCAAAGACGTCAAACCACCCTGAACGTGTAAGGGGTATGCCCAAATGTAGCAGGGTCCATATGGGGCCACGAAGAGGCGATGGCTGTGCAACCGGGGCCTTCAGCGGAGCCCCCTAGGTGGTTACGGAGCGCGGGAGGGGTGTGGCGACATGGGGCGGGGCGCCATGCGAACGCAGCCACTGGCCACTAGGGCCTTCGGTGGAGCTCCTATGGGGCCACGAAGCGTGTGCGGTGCGTGCCGAAAAGGGGCGGGTCACCAAGCGGGCGCAGCTACTGGAGCCGTCGGTGGAGCTCCCTATGGGGCAAATAAACGTGTGAGCTGTGTGCCGAATGGGTCGGGTCACCATGCGGGCGCAGCCACAGAGGCCGTCGGCGGAGCTCCCTGGTGGGCCACGAAGCGGGCCTTCGGAGTTATTCCCTATGAGGCCACGAAGCGTGTGAGAGGTATGCCGAAATGGAGCGGGGCACCATGCGGGCCACTGGAGCCTTAGGCGGTGCTCCCTATGAGGCCACGAAATGTGCGAGGTGTGCCGACATAGGGCGAGTGGATTACCACGCGGGCGCAGCCACTGGGGCCTTGGGTGGAACCTTACGGGGCAACGAAACGTGGTGTGTGTGTGCCGAAATGGGGCGAGTTCCCATGCGGGCGCAGCCACTGGGGGCCACGAAGCGTGTGAGAAGTTGGCCGAAATGGGGCGGATCACCATGCGGGTGCAGCCACTTGGGCCGTAGGCGGTGCTCCCGATGGGGCATGAAGCGTTTGAGGGGCTGTGCCGAAACGGACATGCGGAAGGCAGAGCAACGAGGGGAGGAGAATACCGAGAGCAGATGAGGGGGAGGAGGAGGAAGGAGGAGGCACGCGGCGCTGCGGATTCAAAACGAGGACCCGACTCACAGGAGGGTTGGGAAGAACAGACGTTCGGACGTCCGGGCCCCCCTCTGGACGAAGAACAATCGGACTAGACATAAACTTTCGGAGGTCCGCGCGGATGTCTCGGATCGGCGCTGGAACCTCCCCATCTCGACTGGCGCGCGGAGAGCGCCAGTGGCGGCGCCGGAAGCGACGCCAACGGGGGCCCAGCGCCGGTCCGAGAAATCCGCGCGGACCTCTGAAGAATGGTGTTCACGCAAGTTTCTCTTCTTCTGGGAGGGCAGAAGAGCGCCCCCACACCCACCTGCCCACCCCCGCCAAAGCAGGCAGGGGGGGCAGGTGGGGGTCTCGCCCTCTTGGGGGACAACCTCATAATCGGGAGCCGAAGCTCTTTGGCCCAGCCCCAGAAGCAGGCGGGGGGGGGGAGGTGCCATTCCTGTCCCCAATCTAGGGGAACCAAGAACCAAAAGATATCGCTACCGCTGCTCTCCAGACGTCTCCAGAGGTGCGGTATGACCAGCATTTCGGGGCAAACCCAGACGTGGCGACGATGGCCCCCGAGGAGGCCCAGCGGGGCGAAAACGAGACCCAGGGTAGCAGTCGCGGTGCCTTCTCCTCCTCGGATCTCCGACCTGGCACCGAACCGATGCCCCTACTCTACTCCCCGGACCTCTCCAAGGGCGCGTTCTGACCAGAACCGAGCGGCGGGCTCCCCCGAGAGGCCGAAGAGGGCGAAAACAGTGCGCAGGGTTCGCGGTATCGGTGCCTTTTCCCTCCTGATCTTCGGCCCTCGGCGCCGCATCGCAGCCGTCCGCCGCCCGCTGGCCGGACTCCTGCTGCGAGGCAAGGATTTGTCCATATCCACCGCCTTGGAACCGACGTCCTGGTGCCCCAGCGGGCGGTGGATGGATGGATATATATATATAATATATATATATATATAATATATATATACCTATATATATTTGGGCCCCTGGGGGCCAGAATAATATCCACATCCACCGCCTGCCGAGGTCTCCAAAAATTGATCCTCCAGGCGGTGGCCATGCATAAATTCCCGCCTCGGACCTGCCTCACCAGCTCCGGCGCCAAGGCCTCCGGCGGCACCCGCGCCGCGCCCGGGGCCTCAGGGGAGGCGGCGCCGCACGCGCCGCCGCCGGCCCGCTCTCCGCCCCGGAGGGAGCCCGCACTCCTCTGCGCCAGCGGCTCCGCTCACGTTGAGCGTTTTCTTATTCGTCGCTTCGACAGTGGGCAGAACGAGGGGGGGAGGGGGGGTCTGGCTCTGGACCTCTGCTTAATGCGACTCTTCGGAACCGTACGTCCTTGACTACCTACCAGACCACCCCAACCCAACCCGAAGACCCGAATTTCGGGTTGGGGGGGGTAAGGGTTCCACGTGTGTTTTTTCGATGTTTCCCGACACCCCCCTCACTGGAAATCGAGGGTAAATCTGAGCCTTCGGGTTGGGTTGGGGTGGTTTGGTGGGTGGTGACTATGAGGGAGACTCCACCTGGACGAAACAGGCGCCAAAAAGCAGCCAAGATCCACTCCACGGGGGGGGGGAGGGGAGGTGCGAAGGCCCGCGCCGATTGGCAGAACAATGAAGAACAAAAACGACCACCACACGTCCCCTTGCCTTGACCGTCTGCTTGAGATTGCTTTCCCCCCTCCCCTCCTCTTCCCCCTGCTACTCCTCCTCCTCCCTCGTACTCTTCGCCCTTTCTGCTTCCCCTGCCTTCTGCTTGCAGCCTTCCCTCCATCCCTTCCGCCTGCCCGCCCTCCCGCCTCCTGCCTGCCTGCCCTGGCCGTCCACATCCGTGTCCGTCGTCGTCTGCTGGCGTCTCGCTTCCTCTCCTGCTCCTCCGCCGGGCTGCCCGGACAGCCGGGAGCCAGCGGCGGCGCTAATCATACTCGTAGATGCCCAGGCAATGCAATAACCTGTATGCATGCGAATGCCTGCTCTCCGAGAGAAGAACTCTTGCCAAATCCACTGGCGCACTTTGCGTCGATCTCACGGGGCTTGAGCGGTCCAAGAGTTCCAGCCGGTCCCCGGGGCCATCGGGGGACATGGCGGCCGCCGCGATCCTCCGACCGCACCTGCCCCGCTATGGCCTGGCCAGAGCAGGTGCGGTCGGAGGATCGCGCCGCTTCGCCCGACGCTTTGGCGATGTGTCGGCGACGTCGACCTGGAGACATTCGCTCGACGGCGGCACCGCCCCGTTTTACTCGCGCTGGCATCCGCCAGCCCCGTCGACCCCTCGGAAGCGAAGTCGAACCTGGAGCGCCCCCTTCGGGCGTCCTGGGGGGGACAAAACGAAGGCGGGAGGAGAACAATATCGGGACGAGATCGGAAACAATGAACCTCCGAGGGTCGGCCGTGTTTGACCGATCCGGGTTCCGAAAGCGGCCCCCGGAAGCCGCAATGAAAGAGAACCCGCGGGATTGAAAAACACTTACCTGACATCCGCCGATCTGATTGCTTCAATCCGCGGCTCCAAAAGTCACGACCGTTTTCCTGAGTGTAGTCTTTCGTGCCGAATTCGTTTGTAGTGGTCCAGGGGTTGTAAGCGGCCCTCGAAGGCCGAAATCGAAGGAAAACCGCCGGTTGAAAATTTATATAGTTAGAGATCTGGGTATCGTCGGTAGTGCGGGGAGTAACGGCGCGATGCGGCATACCTCCTGGCGGGCGGATAATATGCTCGACATGCCGGTTGCAGCCTTGTCGACCTCCCCTCGTCTGGGCTGCAAGCGTCACTGGGCCAGCGCGCTCCCTCAACTTTCTGTCCGCCTGCTCCTCCTTCTTCTTTTCCTCCTCCTCCTCCTTCTCCTCTTCCTGAAAATATGACAGGGGCTTCTCCCTGGATGCAGATAGTACTTGAACCAAACGACGTCGGTCGACACACGCCGGCCGGTCCTAACCAAATCGTGTCCGGTACGTTCCGTGCTGCACTTGTAAGAACAGCCTGCTCGCCCAATCGGAACGTTCAAATCTAACACCCGCCCCGGCTGATGAATCGACAAGAGGGACGGGCGATATGCAAACGCGACTGGGTAACGGAAGAGTTCTGAAGAAATACGCAGCGCAGTGAGGCCAGGACTCCATCCTAGCAGGTCAGAGTATGAATACGAAGCCATTGAAAGCATAACCTGTACAAGCATAAGGCGGCGATGATTTGGGCGTGAACGCGCAAGGGCCTCCTAACACGCGGTACGCTATTTCAGAATGTCGCAGAGCACCAGATTACGCATAATGGTTAACACGTTATCTAGTGTGTGTGTGTGTGCGTGAGTGTAGACGAACACCCAGATCTCAACTGAATCCTGAGCCCAAATGCCTAGCAGAGCGGCACGCGACACTTCATAGCAGGTTCCAGCTCGTGCCTTCCTCTAGCCAAATGTTTACTGATACCTCGTATCTGCATGGACATGTTGTCGTTGCTTACACATTTAGTCAATGCATATGCAAGCTTCTCATGAGTTTCTACTTTGATCACTTTGATGTCTCCTCGTCTTACTTTCTGTTGTAATCAAAGCTGACAGACCTCGACGTGCCTGACTTTGCTCGATCCCTCGCCGGATAGCAATAGCAACGGCTGCGCTGACATCGCTGTTCACTGAGATGCCACCATCAACGTCGAAGTATCCGAGAACTGCTTGCAGCCATAGCTTTGAGCCACCGTTCACAATTCCGCGATACTCTGCTTCTCCAGAAGATACCGCCACTACTCTCTGAGCCGAAACCCGCGACTTTATCAAATGTAATCCCCATATTACTGCTCTTCCATTTGTTGACTCACGTGTTTTCTTGCAACCGGCATAGTCGTCGCCAGTCCACGCAGTTAACCCCATTGGGCGTCATTGGTACAAATACTGCTACCTAACTTGTCGTGGCTCTTGGGGTGCTCGCCCAATTTCGCATGGCCTTTCCATGCCCCTCGAGTTGGGGCCGACATTGAGCGCGCACATCTCACTCTGTACTGCTCCATGCCAAGATTTCAAAAATGCAAGATGATTTTGGTGCGCCTCATGCCATAACCCATCCTGGTTAAATTCCACAATGCGGTTGAGAATCCTTTTTGAATTCAAATATTTGGAACCATAGATTTTCACTGCAAACTCATCATTTATCCCCCTTCGAGCCAGTCAAGATGAGAAACACTGTCCAAACGAACGCACAATCATGTCCGTGAGCTATTTGCAAGATTCGCCGAGCCATATGTTTGACCACCTATGGCGATGCTGTTCCCCTAGTCAAAACCAATGACACGTGCAAAATCCACACGACATAACCAGATACCCAGTTGCTGGCGGCGCCCCGAAGGCCCATGGACTTTAGTAGTCTTCCGCGCATGCCCTGTTCGCGACCTTCGAGTAACCTCATGAAGATGTTATTCTTGTCCTTGGCGTAAAAGCATGCTCGCGCAGCGTCTAAGCTTGAGCCATCTCTCGCGCCCCCCGGACATGCCTTGTCCCATCGGCAACTGCCATCGAAAATAACGGGTAAGTGGGGAGGCTGCAAATGTCTTCTCTTTGGAACTGTATCTAGCTTGCTGGGCCGCGATCCGAGATCGGCACTCAGGGTGGGCCTCGTCTCCTCCCCCTCCCTCCTCCTCCCTGGGGCCCGGCCCCTGGGCGCCTGGGAAGCGACGGCCCGAATGCTTCGCTCTCGCGCGCTGCGCCACCGGCGGCAGCGGCAGCAGCAGCCGCGGCAGCGGCGGCGGCAGCAGACCGGCTGCTGAGCAGCAGCAGCAGCAGAAGAGCAGCAGCAGCAGCAGCAGCAGCAGAAGAGCAGCAGCAGAGCAGCAGCAGCAGCAAAGCGAGGGCAGCAGCAGTAGCATAGCAGCACAGAGCAGCAGCAAAGCAGCAGTAAAAGAGGTCGCACACTTTCTTCGACAAGGATAACACAAATGAATATCTGAGGGGGACGCACCCACGTATATAGACATGTGCCTATGTATGTATGTATGAATGTATATATATATATATATATATATATATATATACACGGGAGGACGCCCTGGTATCATCTGAGTTTACATGTGTCCATCACTACACACGCCAAAACTAATTGAAAGCTGCTCGTGGCCGGGAACAGGACGCGCTGCGGCTCGCTGTTCCTCCGTCTTCGGCCCCGTGGTGGTCATAACCCGATGGGGCGGAAAGTTGCTTGGTTTGCACCTGTGCACCCGCGTGCTTTGCTGCTTCTATAACTCGGGCAAGCGCGGGTCGCTCGCGGACGCCCCGAGACAATCTGCTTCAAAAGAAACCGGGGGGCCCTCTGTAACGAACAAGGCCACGCTGACCAGTCCGCCCAGCGGTTTCTCAACCACCGAATTGAACACTCAGGGCAGACACCAGCGCCATATCCGCCTACGGCATCGAAAGGACGCGGACGCCGTCGGGCAACGCGCGGGCGAAGGATGGCGCTGGGCGCGTCGATGGCACCAGCCGACCAAACAATTCTGAATCAGGCCGTCAAATTCGAATAATGGATAATAATCAACATGAAATGGAATATCCCAGCCCAGGGGGCTCAACGTTGGGTCTCTCTCTCTCTCTCTCTCTCTCTCTCTCTCTCTCTCTCTCTCTCTCTCTCTCTCTCTCTCTCTCTCTCTCTCTCTCTCTCTCACTCTCTCGCCAGCGCGCGGCCACGGTCGCGGCGAGGCAGCGCAAAGCCGAACTCGGGGGAGGAGAGGGGGAGGAGGTGGAGGAGGGGGAGAAGACGGAGGAGGCGGTGGAGGCAGAGGGGACGAGGAGGAGGAGAGATGCTGGAAAAGGCGTTGCACCTCGATCCCGCCTCACCCCACGCGTTTCGGATCGCCCCCCTCGAATTTCAAGTCCTTCTCCTCGCCTTTGGGATCCTGGCAAGGTGGCGGGGGCTGAGAACTCGCCCCCTCGCGCGGGCAGCGCAAAATCATGCGCTTGATGCGATCGGACAAGCACGCCTTCACAACCATCTCAAGATAACCCACCCGACATGTTAAATCAAATACAGCTTTCCTCAGCTCACGGTTCTGCCTCGCGGGTTCGCCCATGTCTTTCATTGCCTGCAACACCTCCAAGTTTGAGCGGCTGCATGCTGTGAACGTAGCCTCCAGCGCTGACTGCAAGCAATCCTCAAGACCATCGTCCATGCTCTGGTCCTTGCCTGTGTCCACGTATGCGCCTTTCTCTGCCTGCACGTTGTCAT